TATTTGAAGGTTGGTGGTTTTTGTATAAAAAAACACTTGTCTTTCATTGGTGGGATGAAATATGCAAATTTTTTGGGACAGGCATTTTGGGTTTTCATGAGCTGTATGCCATAATCATCAGTATTAAAACAATTAAAGACCTGAAATATTTCAGTTGGTGCGCAATGAATCTGAAATACATGAAAATTTCATTTTGATCATTACATTATGGAAAATAATGACCTTTATCACAATATGCTAATTTTTTGAGAAGGACCTGTATTATAGACATGATGATGATGAAAAGGCCTAAGAAGAACTGTTGTACAAACACTGTATACAGACGATGATCTGCACAACTACACAGAAGATTTATTGGGTTACTGTTCTTTAGCCATTTTAACTAAACATACAAAACTCTTTAACTTCATTAATGTAAAATTTGTATTTAATTTGATATTGTATCTTGCAAGAGATTTATAACAAATTGTTCTGAGATAATTTCAAAATGTGATTCCATCATTACCAGTAGACAATTTCCAGGCAGTGTAGGTGCCATCTGACACAATAATTAATTCCAAGCTCCAGTTCTTTAAATCTACATGTATTTATGTTTTCCTGTCCGCTGTGCTTGTTTGTTTCTATTGTACATCATTTTAATTGGCCTTGTTGCTGTTTTAAGTGCTATATAAATAAATTGGCATGGTACATACATATTCATATTTATGTTCAATATTATATTTATTAGAAAAAATAGATATACTAAAATTTTATTTATTAATTAGGTGATAAAACCAAATTTTTTAAATGACAAAGCAGTGTAAAAATGTTTTTGTGTTGTGCTATTTCAAAAATTATGAAGATTTAAGTTTTTCAGCTATTTATTATGTGTAGGTTTTATCTGCTTGTATTTTTTTTTCTTTCTTCTTTCGGCTGCTCCCTGCATTAGGGGTCGCCACAGCGAACTAAGTCGCACAAAGACATGGCAGTTATTTTTACGCCGGATGTCCTTCCTGATGCACCCACAGACCACCAAGCAACCATAGCCCTCTATGTGGAGCAGAGAGCTGCTGTCTAGGACACCCAGAGGAGCAGATGGTGGGGGTTAAGGGCCTTGCTCAAGGGCCCAGAGTGGGGCGAATGAGGGTGGGGATAGGTGTGGGTGCTTCGCCTACCCCACCCACATTTTTGATGTTGTCGGTACCGGGGCTTGAACCGGCGATCTGCCCACCTTCTCTAACCTCTGCGCCACTACTCCCCTCTAATCTGCTCATATATATATATACGGACGGACGGACGGACGGACGGACGGACGGACGGACGGACGGACGGAC